TTTCAATGACTCATTCGGCATTGATATTCCTCAGTCGACAGCATCCCTCGAACACACTTGTTCACGATTACCGCATTCATTCTTCCTTTATCCGACATCACCCGAGGAAGTGTTCACCGTTATCAATAGTATTAGGAATACAAGCGCTGGTCTCGATAAGTTCTTTGATGCCGACATGAAACTGATAGCTCATTTAATCTGTGATGCATTATGTCATATTATAAATCTTGTATTTAGAACTGGGTTCTTCCCTACTACGTCTCTGAAAAAAGCAAAAATTATTCCCGTTTTTAAAAAAGGCGACAAGCGTTTAATCTCCAATTACCGTCCTATAGCAATTATTTCATTCTTCAGTAAGGTCATAGAAAAGCTTTTTGCGGGACGTTTACGGTGTTATCTAGACAAGTTTCACATTCTTTCTAACAAACAGTTCGGTTTCAGGCCAGGTTACTTAACTGAACTCGCCATGATATCGCTAACAGAGAAAATTAAATATGCTATTGACAGCGGTAGCGTTGTTGGAGGCATTTTTCTTGACCTTTCAAAAGCATTTGATTCTATTTCGCACGACATTTTGTTTCAGAAACTAGAATCAATTGGTGTATCTGGCGTCCCACTAGAACTAATTCGTAACTATCTGCGTGATCGAGAATAGGTGGTATATGTGTCCGGTACCTTTTCCAACCCTAAAACCACAAACATCGGTGTTCCACAGGGTTCAATTTTGGGCCCGCTTTTATTTTTAATTTACATAAACGATCTTTCTCAATGTCTAGCACATTCGTCCTGTATACTCTATGCGGACGATACCACTATAACAACTACAGATAAAGACGTTGACTCGATGTTGTTTAAACAAAATACCGACCTGATAAATATCGTTAAATGGTTCAATAAGAATAAATTAAACATAAATGCTAAAAAGTCAAACTTCGTTGTAATTTCGTCACCTAATCGAATTATACCTAGGAACCCCTCTGTCTTCGTAAGCGATACTCAAATTCATTCTACCTCTAGTACAATGTTTCTCGGGGTCAAATTAGATGAACATTTAAAGTTTAATTCACATGTTTTAGAGCTTACGCGGAAAGCCGCATATGCCATTGGAATATTTCTAAAGGTTCGCCCGTTTTTCGTTTTGAAATTTTGTTGTCACTTTACTACGCTTTCTTTCACAGCAACATAATCTATTGCATTTTATCATGGGGAAATACGTATGCCACTCATTTATCAGCCATCCAACATCTTCAAAACCAAGCATTGAGAATAATAACGTTCAGTGGCTTCATGTCCAATGCATCATCCTTACTCTGTTCGCATGGAATTTTATCAGTTCAGAAGCTGGCTAAATATTTTCTCGGCATTCTTATTTACAAATATGTGAATGGAAAACTTCCGATTCCTTTACTACACTCAAGTCAGTTTCCTCAGGCATCATCGATTCGTTTTGCAAAAGCTAATAACTTCCTTTTACCCAAACCTAGGACTAATTATGGCAAGTTTACTACAAAATTTTCATCTGTTTCCCTGTGAAATTCTTTACCTTTGGAGATCAAAAATAGATCCCTCGAAATGTTTAAAAAAGGCTTGCGTTCGCACTTATTAAATTCTTAATGCATGATATTATATGAATTGAATATTATTGCCTTTTTCTGTTAGTTTTTTGTGCTCATCGGTACACCTTGTATAACTTATGTTCGCTATTTCGTGTTTATCTGTACATTTGGTATATATTAATTTTTCTATCCTTACCGTAATAATGCTTGAATGTTATTGCATTTTCGTGTTAGTTTTTGCATGCTTAGCTGTACATTTTTTATAACTTACGTTCCCTATTTCGTGCTTACCTGTACATTTTGTATACCTTAAATTTTCTTTCCTTACCAATCTTTACTATTGCGTTGTATCTCTCATGTATGATTTTATAGGAGGTCTCACTCACAGTCTCGCGACTTTGAGACCTCCTTCTGTATTTGTACATAACACATGCACTTGTAAAAGGCACGAAAACGTACACGGGCATTCGATTTGTGTTTGGCCTCTTTGGCTGTGTATGAGCTGCTTCTTTAAAATAGGTTTCAGATATGCTTTCCCCAGCAAATGCACACAACCTACTCGTGAAAATAAGAACCAAACTTGACGAGCATTTTCTTTATGAACGAGTAATCAAAACCAAATAGAATTTTAAGGTGCATATTTTTCAATAATTGCTATTTTATTCTCACATCCCCGTTCAATACATTATCTCCGATCGTACACTTCAATAAACAAGAAGGCAGGAACCTCGTCTTGTAATAGGCACGGTCTGTGTGCCAATGAAAGGACAACTGAGAAATCAGCTCACACTTTTAAGCGCCGTACGGGCTGTGCTTTAAACGCCATACTATATGTGCACTCAAATTACTTTTTAATAAACAAAAGCCATTAGATTTATTTACTATGTTGTGGTGTTCTGTACGCGTACTGATTTTTTTCAATGTTTGCGTGAGAAGAAGCATGCTGCATCTCGAATATATCGCTGTAAATGTTATTAGGGCTTAAAGAAAACCACATTCCAAAATGACTTATTGCGCCTTCAGCAGTGCAGACAAAATCTGCAATCAGCAAACAATGAGCAAACAATAGCCCTTAATAAATGATTACATCACTCATATTAAGGGAGTATGTAGAAAGACGTGCACAGCGGTCTCAACTCGTCGATAAACAGTTTAAGATGGGCATCTGCAACAGCCTTGCGTGTGCAGGCTGCCATTGGATTAACAAGCGCACGTATGTCATTTCTGGGCACATGTCCGCAAGTGCAGCTCCATGTATATGCCGACCTCGAAACATCACTTCAAACACGGAGCCTCCACTTACAATACAATGCAACCGGTACCAAAGATACACACATCGGAGAGTTAAAGCCCGTTATCAGGCTCGTACTGATCGTTTTTTGGGGGGGAGGAGGGGCACCTTTTAAAATTCTCATTTTTCTACCTGCATATCATGGCAAAAACAATTTGTAGGGGGAGAGATGGGCAGGATTTACTACACCTTGGTTATGCCACTGCACGTTACGCAAATACGGCGCGCGACTGTGATAGCACTCCTTCTGTCCAACTCATTGTGTTTGAAGTGCGTCCTGAAATAGGTTTCAGCGCAAAAGAACAAGATACATGAAGAGAAGGTGACTGTACAAGCGCTCGTGTAGTATTTTATTAAAGTACCTACCTTCATCAAAAGGTTCATCGACAGGTTTACAGGCAACGACAAGGTGTGACCTCTTGCATAGTAAATGTTTAAAAGCACTCTGTGGTCTTTGGGTGCTTTCACTGGAGTTAGGAGTGGCAAAAGCACAACGAGTGACAGAGGAGGAGCAGTACCGTAGTCCCGTACTGTGCATTTCGTATCTCCTTAACCAGCTAAAACTTCCTCGAATACAGCACTATTAAACAAGCAGCACACTTTAAGAGACAGAGAGGAGGTGTTGTCGCCACACTCACCGCTGTGTTAAGGCAGGTGCCGATGCAATGGTGCGCTGTGGTGCCAGGACACACAGCGTACACAAATGGGACAGCATCAGAATGCCAGCCGCATGATGTTTGGCATATCCGACATCATTTGCTACACGCTAGCCAATCGCAAAGCGCTGCACGAGTGACAGTTACCTTTTGAAGAAAAGTCAAATCTCATTTTCTGATTGCTAGTTCCGTTTCCTGTTTTCTTCCAAATTGAAACCTATGTTATCGAGCTAACACGATATTGCAAATATTGCAAAATAAAGCCTTCATTTTTTGCGTGTGTGTGTGGCCACATACCACTTGTCAAGTTAACTGCCACTAGATAACAATGTCCTCACCATTAGGGCACTTCCTCAGCACGACCACTCGATGTGTGTGTTGCTGCGTCTCTCTGTGCGGCACGACGACTCATGCTATGAGTACACGCTCACTTTCACACTCATAACTACTCACACTCACGTGTACCCATTCACGTTCATACTCATGCCTATTCATACTCTGAGTGCTCACTCACGTCCACTCCCATCCCGAGTACTCGCATTCATACTCGCAACTACTCATACTCATGAGTTCTCACTCATGAGAACTCACGTTCATATTCACTTCTACTCACACTCATGAGTGCTCACTCATACTCACACTCACCATGTTCTAATGAGTGTGAGGGAGTGTACTCTTGAGTCAGCATGCCGAGCTATGTTCAAAGCTGATGAAACACAGACACGCACATACATACACACAGTCAAACCAACTCATAATAATACAAGTTTTAACAATAAATCGGTTATAACAACAAAAAGCTGCTGTAACATAAATTTTTGTGTGTTGTACCCACTCAGAGCAATGCCTGCACGCCGTATTTTTAGTTGTAGCAATGTATTCTGGCTGTTGGGTGTCTGTACCAAAAGGTAATGAAACGCAAAATTCATGGAGAGAAAAAACCACGAAAAATTCAAGCTACTGAACTCTCGCTTACAACCCCAATGTCTCCAAGTGCCCCTTCTGATTTCGCAGTATGCTTCACCGCAGAGTGTTGTAGATTTGTAGCAAAGCCGACTTTCAAAATGCACTATGGCGTGGGTGCGGCAGTGGCCTTGTTAGTATATTTTCGGACTCACGATTTGAATAAAAAGCGTAGCCTTGTGAGAGCTGCAACTTGAAAAACTTCGGATGTTGACATACATTGGCTCTATAAAGCTTGCAGCTTGCGAGAGTCCTGTCAAAGCATCTGAATTTTCAAGCTACTCAGAGGCTGCACCACTTACAAACAAAAAACATGATTTATCATATACATAATATAACAAGTGGACAACATAATACAAAGACCTCTGATCAATAATAAATACAGAATGCACCTCGAGAAAAATTAATTGGTTGATGTGCTTCAGAGTGAATACCAAAGTATAACTTCCCAATTATTAAAAAACAGTCCTTCGAATGACCTTCCAAGGGCATTCTTTCATCCCTCCTAGAGACTATAAAACGATGGCCACTCACCCATATCTGTATCTCCAAGGTCTAGCCGATGGAAGTGACCATTGTGCTGCCGACTGTCTGGGTCTAGCCCATTCGCCACCATTGTCCTTCCTTCACTGCCCTCCACAACCATGTCTGTTCCACAATCACCATCATTGTGGTCCCCGTTTAGTGCTGTGTCCCCATTTGCTGTGCTGCTGTCCGAGGCTGCCACTCCATTGGAGGCCACATCACTTCCTGTTGACTTTGGTGACGAACTCAGCATTAATAATCGTGGACTGGAGCCAGGTGAGCGCCGAGCTGGTCGCACTTCACTGTCTGTACCATTAACCATTTCAACAAACTGGCGGCAGCGCAGGAGGAATAGCAAGTTGGGATTGTTTTCCAGCAGACCAGGGTAGAGCCTCTGTGTTGTCTCAATGGCCTCTCCAACCCGACCTGCCAGCACCAACTTCTGGATTCCTGATGCAGCAAAAGAAAAGTACACTTTACAATGCATATCATGAGTATAAATATTTGTTTTATGGCTTCATGATAGACCATGAGAAAATTCTTAACAAATAACAAAAGCAAACAAAGCAATAGCTGATTAATTTCAACTCTCATATCTTGAAATATCGACACAGTTGAAATTTTTGACAGCACTGAAATATTTCTCGTGTGTCCTATTTCTTGCTCTTTATTTCGAAGCATCCCTGGGCCAAATTATAGATAATACGAAATCGTGAGTCTGAATGGTGAATAATAATAATAATAATAATAATAATAATAATAATAATAATAATAATAATAATAATATTGGGGTTTTATATGCTACAACTACATGAGCACCCACAAATTTTGTAATAGCTGTCCAGGAATGCACTGTGTATTCTCATAAAAAATTTTCTTCTGTCAATTTATGAATTTATGAGTGCTTTCCCGAGCAACTAGGAACTTGCTTTTGCTGAGCACTGTGCCGAAAACATGCCAGCAATCATTTTAACAGAGGCACCTAGCGACAGTAATTTGCTGCCTTCCTTGTCCCATCACATCTTTCACCACAGTGTGATGAAACAAGGTGCTCTCGAAAACCTTCAGAGATCATTATGATGTAACCTTTTAAAGTGACAACCCATATAAACCTATGTGCTTAATTTGGAATACTTTCTCAACCCATTGGTAAAAGACTGGTGACTTCCCGGCAGACCGGCAGACTGCTTCCCAGCTTCCCACTTGTCAATTTAATTAGGCATAACTCAATGAGCTTACTTTGCCGATTTTTAATGGAAGAAAGGTCTTCATCAAATGACTGGCCGGTACTTCGGGCAAACGCTTCTGCTGTAGCACAATAACCATGGTGAATCAGGTAAGTCTGGACGACTCTGCAAGATGAAAATGATAAAACGATATATATATATGGCATCAACAAAGTGACTGTTGAAACAGGCAGGCCTCACACTAACTAAATATTTCAAGTAAATGATTCATGTAGTTAGATCCACTGAAAATGTAGTTTGTAGCTCCAAAAATACCAAGAAACATTGTAAACAAAACAGATACTAAGGGGACTTCCAGCATAACAACTGAGACAAGTGCACAAATGAAAAAAACTTTTATATCTTCTTGGTGACCAACAAAAAACTACCAGGGTTGTGAAAAATGTGTCAAACATCTAAATGCTTTGACTTGAACAGAGAAAATTCTTAACTGTGTTTCATTCCACTTGCTTTAAGCATGTGTTTATTGTCTAATGATTAAAGTAAGAGATTTTGTGTTCAGAATACTCATGCTTTACATGATTTCATCGGCACAGTTGAGGTGCCACTATATATATAGTGGAGAGAAAAGATGTGCTTGGGATAGCATTATTAGGATTGTTATTCTCACTATGTGAAATTGCACTTTAAAATGCATATACTGGACCTGAACGAAACCGGCTAACAGATTACTTTGGTCGTAAATCGATAACACATATAGGCTTCAAGTAGTTCTCCACACTGCATAACTAGTATTTTCCCTATCAGTGTGCTTGCCCAGATTAAATGGCGATATTGTTACGAAGTAAAGGAAGATGGACAGAATCGGCTGACAGGTGCACGAGTGTGCCAATCTGTGATTTTTGCCTGAGGTTGTTCCTCTGTAATTGCGTTTATACAGAAGTCACTGACACCATATCATATTGGTGGAGGTGCAGAGTAACCATCAGGCAACGGAGCTTCGCAGCGGACGCCGCATCGGTTTTCCAGCCCTGGCCAATGCTGAGCCCTCCGCGTCAAAGTCAGCGTCTCCGACGAACGCGGCGTCGCAACCATACGTTTTCCTGCCACTCAAGGATTCCGGTACATTCTGCGGGACCGATGGCGTCGACGTTGATGATTGGTTGGCCATGTTCGAACGAGTGAGTGTGCCGAACAGATGGGATCCCACACTTCAGTTGGCTAATGTGCTGTTTTACTTCAGAGGCACGGCGAAGGTGTGGTACGAAAACAACGGAGAAGAACTCACAAGCAATGGAAAGAAAAGATGCGATAGGTGTTTGGCAAAACCGGCAGTCGTAAGATCGCCGCCAAAAAGGAATTGGCCTGCCGTGCCCAATCCCCAACGGAATCATACCTCGCATACATTCAAGACGTGCTGGCCCTCTGCCGAAAGAGACATGACAGAAGGTAACAAGGTAGGGCATGCCATGGAAGGGATTGCCGACGACGCGTTCAATCTCCTGCTGTGCAAGAACTGTTCCACCGTGGACGCGATCATCAAAGAGTGTCGTCAGTTTGAGCAAGTAAAAAGTCGCCTCATTCTGCAAACATTTGCCCGACTTCCAAACACCGCTGCAACATTGACTTGCGAGGACCAGTCCGCACCACAACGACCGTCGCTGCCGGTAGACCTGATATACATTGTTCGTCGTGAAATGGAAGCAATGGCACCCTCGGCGTTCAATTCGCGCAGTACCGATACCACTCCTGTTACTGTTCCTCTTGTTCAAGCCATCATGCGCCAGGAGCTTGAAAACATCGGAGTGCATTCCGTATGCCATGTCACCGCCCCCAGAGTCAACGAACGCCCTTTCGTGATGCCCTCCTCCGACCGACGGTTTTCTCCACGTACTCAAAACCCGGCTGAGTGGCAAACTGCAGATGACCGCCTTATATGTTTCAACTGCCACCACGTTGGACATAGTGCTCGTTACTGCCGCAACACATGGTCCTCGGCACCTCGTGCAACGACCAATATGACCCGTTTCCGCGGTCCCGCCAGCACATTTTCACCTGCCGAAGAGTCTCATGCCGTTAACCATTCTCGGAACACATGGTACAGCCGCTCGCCTTCACCACGTGGGCACCAGTCTCGTTCGCCGCAAATTTGCCGTCCATCGTCTCGTTCGCCGCAGCCACGGCGCTTCTCGTCCCTCATGGCTTTCGGCCGCATCGTCTCGGAAAACTGAGAAATGCAGCCCCCAAAGGTTGTGCTGCATTGACGACTTCCGCAGCAAATCCTCTCTTTGTTCCTACCCGACGAAGTGTAACAGACGTTGAAGTAGATGGCGTACCTGCACAAACACTTGTAGGCACCGGCGCAAGCATTTCGGTCATGAGTTCAAGCCTACGCACACGTTTAAAGAAAGTTCTGACACCAGTGGCTGCACAAATGCTCCGTGTGGCCGATGGCGGCACGCCGATGGTTCTCGGTCTGTGCACTGCTTGCTTAAGTATAAAGGACCACACTGCTTCTGTCATTTTGGCCGTGATTGACCACTGCTCTTATGACGTTATCTTAGGCCTGGACTTCTTGTCGAATCATTCTTCTCTTATCGATTGTGCTACCGGCGTCCTTCAGCTAGAACTGCCCCAGATAGTCTCTGAACACCACACTGCCCGGCCGCGCCTGTGCTCTCTTCAGGACGTGCGACTGTCACCTCAGGCAGCCACCTACGTTATTTTGACCACACAGCCACAAGTTCCCGATGGTCAATATGTTCTCCTTCCTCTCGCCGACGTCCTCTTGGAGCGCAACATCGCCATTCCCCATACGCTTGTGACTGTCACTGACAACTGTAGCTCGCTCCCACTTCTCAATTTCAGCTTTTGCCCTCAAGTGCTTCCTCGTGGCATGTTCTTGGTCAGCGTATCCAATGCTGACGAATTCAAAATAGCGGCTCTCACCACCGAGATTGATTTACTTCAGTCTCTTGTAGCTAACAGCATCTGTTCTATGCCGAGTCGTTTCTCGAAAATGATTGCACCCGACCTCAATCCTGCACAAGCCAACGACATCCATCACCTTCTCGCGTCGTATACCGACATTTTTGATTTCAACGACAGACCTCTAGGGCAAAAATCCAGCGTTCAGCACCGTATAAACACTGGTGACGCCAGCCCCATTCGCCGACGCCCCTATCGTGTCTCCCACACCGAGCACAGAGTTATCCAAGCGGAAGTTGACAAAATGCTCAACAAAGATGTCATAGAACCATCAAGTAGTCCTTGGGCTTCCCCTGTCGTCCTTGCGAAGAAAAAGGACGGTACCTGGCGCTTCTGCGTTGACTATCGCCACCTTAACAAGATCATGCGAAAGGACGTATACCCGCTACCACGCATCGATGGCGCGTTGGACTGCCTGCACGGCGCTACGTACTTCTCGTCTATTGATCTTTGGTCCGGCTACTGGCAGATTTCTGTCGATGAGATGGACCGCGAGGAGACGGCCTTCATTACACCGGATGGTTTATACCAGTTTAAGGTGATGCCTTTTGGACTATGTAACGCCCCTGCCACATTCAAACGAATGATGGACACTCTCTTGCGTGGTTATAAGTGGTCTACTCGTCTCTGTTACCTAGACGATGTGATAGTCTTTTCATCTACTTTCGATAGCCACCTGACCCATCTCGCTGCAATTCTCGCAGTCTTCAGAACAGCTGGGCTACAACTAAACTCCAAGAATTGTCAATTTGGCCGCCGTCAGATTACCATTCTGGGCCATCTTGTAAACGCCGATGGTGTCCAATCAGATCCTGAAAAGATCCGCGCTGTCCGTAGCTTTCCAGTGCCCTGTTCTACATCTGACGTCCGGAGCTTCATCGACTTATGTTCCTACTTTCGTCGTTTCGTGAAAAACTTCACCGACGTTGCCAGGCTACTCACAGATTTGCTGAAGAAGGATACCACATTCTCATGGGGCCCTGAGCAGGCTCAAGCGTTCATTGCTCTCATCGGCTGATTAACTACGCCCCCCATACTTGCCCACTTTAATCCTTCTGCTGCCACAGAAGTTCACACTGACGCCAGTGGCCACGGTATTGGCGCAGTTCTCGCTCAGCGGCACCGCGGCAGACAGTGCATGATAGCCTACGCCAGACACCTGCTTTCTCCCCCTGAGAGGAATTATTCCACCAACGAGAGAGAGTGTTTAGCTTTAGTTTGGGCCGTTGCCAAGTTCCAGCCATATTTATACGGTCGCATGTTCTCTGGCGTTACAGACCACCACGCCCTCTGCTGGCTGACTTCTCTGAAGGACCCGACTGGACGTCTGGGTCGCTGGGCTTTGAGGCTTCAGGAATTTTCGTTTAGCGTCAGCTAGAAGTCTGGCCGTTTGCACAAGGACGCAGACTGTCTTTCTCGTCATCCGGTGGACCCTCCTGATCCAATTGCGACTGGAGAGCAGCGTGATGGCATTTACTGATATCAGCGATATGCGCATTGAACAATGACAGGATGAGTCAGTGCGCACTATCATCGACGCCATCCAGCCTGACAGCCATGAATGACTCTGAATCCCGTATGTTCGTGCTGAATGACGGCATCCTCTATCGCCGCAACGTCAGCAGCACTAAAGGCCCTGAGCTTCTGCTTGTCATTCCCCGTCATCTACGGCCTGCCTACGTGAACAACTTCACGACGCATCAATAGCGGGACACCTCGGTGTTTCCCGCACATACAACCACGTGCGACGTCGATTCTTCTGGCCAGGATTGTACCGTACCGTGCGTCGATATGTTGCCACTTGCGACCTCTGCCAGCGCCGGAAAAGACCTTCTTTGCTGCCAGCTGGACAGCTTCACCCTATCGAAGTCCCCTCTGAACCATTTCATCGCGTGGGACTCGACCTTCTTGGCCCTTTTCTGACGACGACACTGGGAAATAAATGGATCGCCGTCGCCACAGATTATAAGACCCGTTACGCGATAACAAAGGCCATGCCAACCAGTTCTGCCACTGACGTCGCAGATTTTCTTCTTCACGATGTCATCTTACACCACGGTGCACCCCGACAGCTGCTTAAAGACGGCGGCCGCTCTTTCTTGTCCAAAGTTGTCGACGACCTCCTTCGATCGTGTGCCATAGCGCATCAGCTATCTACCGCCTACCACTCACAAACT